CTGCCCCCCCCCGCCGGGTCGCCCTTCCCTGAGCACTGGTGGGGCTGGTCTGGGTCTCGGCCTCGACGCCACAGCAGTGGCGCCCGCTCCTCCCTTCCGCCCCCTGGGGGGGCTCCCGGCCTGGCCCAGCCGGGCATCCGCAGGGCTGCTGCTGCTGCTGGTGGTTCTGGTAGGCGAGGACCGAAGGGATGGAGTATCCTTTTCCTCCCAGCTCCGGGGAAATGGGCCGGGTGGAGATGGGAGCAGCAGCAGCACACACACCCCCAGCGTGTCCTTCAGCTCAGGAACACCATGACACGCGGAGAAAGGTGGACCGCTGCAATACCAGAGGCAGAGACGGGAAACGCACACGGTGCCCGGCCATTGAGGCTCCCAGCGGCCCCCGCAGCGCTCCCTCCCTCTCCGCCCGGCCCCCGTTTCCAGCCCCAGCCGGATCCCAGCAGAAAGCTCCCAGTGGCCCCCGGCAGAAGCGTCCCACCAGAGCCGCGCCCCCTCGGCTTCCCTTCATTCAGGCAGCCATCGCACCCCCCAACCGCGCCGCCCTCGCCCTCCTAGTTCCCCGGCGCGGAGCCCTCCCAGCGCCAGTGCCACCCCGCGAACTCGCTCCCGCGTGAGCTCACCAGGGTGCTCGGAGGCTCCTCCGCCGTCATGGCCGCTGCCTTTTGCCGCCGCTGCTGGACCTCGGCTCAGCGGGGCCCGCCTCATGTTTCCATCACCCGCTGCCCACGCCCGCCTAGTTCCCTGGCGGGGAGCCCTCCCAGCGCCAGTGCCACCCCGCAAACTCGCTCCCGCGCGGGCTCACCAGTGTGCTCAGAGGCTCCTCCACCGTCCTGGCCGCTGACTTTTGCCGCCGCCGGCGGAGCTCGGCTCAGCAGGGCCCACCCAGGACAGGCGGAGGCCCCGGCTGGGCTGGAATCTGGCGGCCGGAACACCCCGAGGTGCCCCGCAGCAGAGCAGGAGCAGCACCTCCGCCTCTCGCCGCGTCGCCGCCACCCGGCTCCAGGTACTTTCCCACTTTTTTCTTTCTTTCACTTTTTGGTTCGTACGTCAATTCTCCGTCCGCAAGTCAAAATGGATTTTTGCGGACGGAGAAGTACGTAACTCAAAAAGTGCGCAAGTCAAGCCGTTTGAAAGTCAAGACCCCACTGTACAAGGCTTAAGTACCATTGCCTTTTCAGGTATTTCTTCTATAACACTTTCAGTTCTTCAGTAATGATTCAGATCTCTAGATCTGAATTAGTTGTTAAACATCTAGTTCAGCTACAATTGATTTTACTGACAAGTACATTCATTCAAAGTACTGTTGCATGATTTGATAATTGAAGTGATTTGGCTGAAGAAATGGAGAGGCATTGTAGAATAATTCTCCATGACATTTATATGGCCTATTTATGGTTTGACTACAGATGTGTATTGCAGATTTTTCCATGTTTCTTTCATTTTGGGTGTTTTCCCGTGACACTGTATTTTTGTGTATTTAATGCACAATTCCTTTAGTTAGAGGCTCTTTCCTTGCAGGTTTCCTCATTTATGTTTCTTAGTGCTAGCCTAAATTAAATCCTACAGATTTAAACTACTTAAAACTACTCCAAAAAGCAGAGGCAAGGCAGTAGAGAATCAGTCTACTCCAAAAACAGGTAACATATGAGAAAGAATAATAATAATCAGACATATTTATTTATTGGATTATACCCTGCACCATCTGGCAACCAGGCCACTCTGGGTGGCTAACAACAAGATAAACAACACAATATCAAAACACAATAAAAATAAATAATACATACATTCAAACGAATATGATAACCAGCGGGATAAATTAAAACAGATGGCGATGAAGATGGTAGAGAGAAAGAGACAGCAGCAAAAATATTAGGATGGGAGGTGGCAAATCTTCCAGAAAATTAATTTAAAAGGGCAAGTGCAGTGGATCCAGGATGTAGTCATGGAGTCAGACAGACAAGCTGCACAAGCAGCAAACAAGAAAAATACAAAAGAACATGAAATGTTTGTGTATCCCTCTTTCGTTTACAAATCTTTTGTGTTTCTTTCCGAAGTTGAAGGAAAAAAGAACACAAAGATGAATGAAAGAACCTCTTTGTGTGTTTTGCATTTATATAAACACAAAAGTCTCATTCCTAGGTGTGACATAATGGCACTTCTGTAACTGTCTTGAACCGTTCTAATAACAATGCTAGACTGTAGAGCAGGGGTGGGCAATTAATTTCTATAGGGGGGGCCACATGAAAAATCTGAACTGTGTTCGGGGGCCGAACCAACCTTACTTAAAAATAAAATGAAACAGGGATGTTATGATTGTTTTTATTTTAAACTTGTTAATCTTCACAAATACTAAAGAGTTTTTTTGTGGTATGTTAAGGATAAGCAACTGATCAACTTTAGACAAAAAGCTATAAATGGTTTTGATGCTCAAAACTGTCCGCGGGCCAGACAGGAGTGGCTCGCGGGCCGTATGTGGTCCTCGGGCCGCACTTTGCCCAGGTCTGCTGTAGAGAGACCATGCTCAAAAGAGGAACAAGGTGGATTCCAGCATGACAGGCAAAATTGTCTATTTCTTTTAGTTTATTTTTCACCCCCATGCTGCCCTGCTTGCTATATTTTGTAATATCCTAGTAATAGAGAACCAAACCCCAGCATGAAGTAAACATATTTATTCCCTACAGTATTTGAATAAAACCACTTAGCATTAAGAGGATCAGTGCATTTGCTTGTTTCTGAGGGAGATGTATATACTTTCTAAAAGTGTACATAATGCACGAGGCAAGCAATTATCTGTGTAGTAAATCTGTTTAGATTCCATTACAAAGCTTGTGCTGTGTGCAAGTTAACTGGCAGTACCTTGATTAGATGTCTGGTGTTTTGACCTAGGATCTTAGAAAGTGTCCCATCAAGGCAGGAATAGGACTATGCTGTCTTGTCTTTATAGTGTGACCCTGTGCTATATTAAAGAGTATATGTATCTTGAATAGTACTAAATAGTTACAGTATGGTTTAACGGCCGTTTTTGAAAATGAAATGCTAACTTCAAGAAAAAAGGCTTAATTTATATAATTTTCTGTTTTTAAGGTTTACCTTCCATACATCAGGAAAAAAAATTCCCACACCCAAATGTCTTTTGAAATTGTTGATTATAAATAAATCAGTAATTCTGTGGCACTTTTAACTATTTTCAAAATATATGTAGTGTAGTAGATTTTGTTAAGTAGAAAGGAAGATCTCTGAACTTAACATGATGTATTTAAGGGCTGGATCATACGTGATGTGAACCATTATTCACGTGTCTGTCTCAGTCTTTGTAACATTGTGGAATCATAGAAGGAGAGCCCATGATAAGGGTGCCAAACTTTCTCTTCTCACCTACTTTACTTTTGGAGTATACAGTGGTGCCTTGCTTAACGGGTGCTCCGTTTTACGATGAAATCGCATAACGACGAAGTTTTTGCGATCGGAAAAGTGATTGCTTTACGATGTTTCCTATGGGGGAATTTCGCTTTGCGATTCTCGCAAAACGATGATTTTCCTACAGCTGATCGGTGGTTTCAAAATGGCCACCGGGTAAAAAAAATGGCCGCCCGCTGTTTTCTGGGACAGATTCCTCGCTGCATGGGCAGCGAAAATGGCCGCGCTATGGAGGATCTTCGCTAGACGGTGAGTTTCAAGCCCATAGGAATGCATTAATCGGGTTTTAATGCGTTTCTATGGGCTTTTAAATTTCGCTTTACGATGTTTTCGTTCTACAGCGATTTCGCTGGAACGAATTAACATCGTAATGCGAGGCACCACTGTATTTCATTGTTCCTAGCTCCATTACCGGGCACAGGAGGAAAGAAAGTTATATGTGAGTGGATCTAGCAGGTGAAACGAAACAAGTGTCTAACTATCACCTAGTTTTCTCTTGCAATAGCCTTGATTATTCTTGGAATAATCTTAAGCTTGATAATCATGTTGGAAAAGAAAATCTTGCTGTGTTGAGTTATCTCTTTCTGTCTTTTTCTTCTTTTTTGGTGGGGAAAGGAGATCTCTACAGTTTTTGTCTACATTGGATTCATCAATGTTTTTCTTGAAAACTTTGTTTCTAAGCAATGCAGTGAAGCCACATGCTTGGAAATCTTAAAAGCCCTTATATGTACAAGTCTCTGACAGTGGATTTTCTTTCGTGTACAACTAGTTTTGCTACAGAAATGTTAAATGCATTATCAATTTTCAATTATGCTTAATTTTGTTTGTAGAGCCAGAATGAAGACTGGGGAGGTTTGTCTGAGGATATCTTATGATTAAGAGCACTCTAAAGCCTTAGCGTTTTGATCCCCATCTGTATGATTGGTAACTAAATTTACCATTTTAGTGGCATGGATTACATGGGTGCTTTGCAGAGTTTTGCACGTGTAATGGAACCCTTGCCTGAGAAGTGAAAAGGAGCAGAAAAGTGACCAGTGATGGGCTTAACCCCTGTGGTATTTGCATGACAGTATTGAAGTGTGTTTTGGGTGCTCTGTCTTATTTTCTTTTTCATACTAACAGCATCAGTTTGAACTGTGTGGTGTTTGTTCTTTGTTGTGGTGGTGTTAATTTTTAGGTGTTAATAGAAGTTCAATTCCAGAAGTTAAGGACAGATGTTCTTACAAAAATGCATTTCAGTATTTTCTGTAAGATTGCTTTTGTCTGCTATAAAATTATTATAATACTTGCAGGGGAATCATTTCTGCATACTTTTAACAGCTGGTTTTAGGTGCATTATATGACAAGCCTCACACATATATAGATGATTTCAATATGTTTTTGCATAGAGCATTAGAGGACCATTCTACACAAAAAAGGTAAGTGTATTTGTGAAAGAAAATAGTCTTGTAGGAAATTTACTGATATGCGGAAATGAATGTTACAGTATTCAGCCAAACAGCGTGGACACTGTTCAGTCACACTTCAACTAACATCAGGCAGTCTTCAATTCCATTGACTTTATAGGAGGAGGTTTAGGGCCTTACTTTACTCTATTGTAGAAATGAGTGAAACTTTTCATGTTTACATTTAGTGGAATTGCATGCTGCTTTCATTTTAAGTTTTACATTTGAGGAAGCATTGTTGGAGCAGCTCCAAGGGGCTTCAATTCATGGAGTGTGATGAAAAAGAACCCAATTTGTGTGATACATAGAAAGCAGGATGAAGATGGATTCTTTGAGTTCTTAGGTTAAAACATTCAGATGTCATTACCAATCGATGTACTGAAGAGGTGTAGGAGAAAAGGTAGTAGTTCTCCCCCCCCCCATTTGAGTCCAGAGATCACCTGACCTGGGAAGGGTGACTATCTTCATCATAGAAGGATAGTGCTGTATTTACTAGCAGTGTTTTAAAATTTGAACCAGGATTCAGTAAGATTTCTCCACTAACTCAGTTGCCTAGAGGGCTGCAGGGTTAATGGGAAGAGAGTGCAGTCTGATTAGAATAGTGGTCAGTCTTTAACATCAACATTAAAATAATAACAACAACAACAATAACAACAAACAACTAGCTATCCGGTTAGCTGTTTAAATGTTTAGATCTAGGTATTTAAGTTCCAGTTTATGCCTTTTTGCAAAACCTTGGTAGTGCAGCATAATTAAATTCTTGCACTTAGGATCAAATTGAGAGGCATATTAATCATAGGGAATACAAATCCCCCTTAATGTCTAGTTTGATTTTTAATCTACTGTCTTCTGTGGAAGGAGGGGAGTAAAATATCTTGGTGATGAGATTAAAAGTACTTAGTATCTTACTAGTCAGCATATTTGCAGTACAGTGGTGCCTCGCACAACGGGTGCCTCACACAACGATGAATTCACACAACGATGCCTTTTTCTGTTAAATTTGCCGCCTCACACAGCGATGTTTCCTATGGGGGATTTTCACACAACGATCTCCCTTTTCACTATTGTAAAAGTGTCTTACAATGTTTGGAAGCCGTTTTAAATGTTTGCAATGGTTAGCCCACCTCCTGAAACCTATGCAAACTGATTTTGGTGTTGTTCTGACACTTCGTTAATTTATGATGATCTTTTGAATTTTCTCCATTGGAAACCATTGGATGGTCTGAACGACTGTTCCTATTATCCTGTTTTTAATATTTTACATTATTCCAAATTTCACCCAGGATGATGCAGGAATAGGAAAATCTTCACTTAACTGGAGGCATGCCTGTATTATTTTGTGTTTGTGTAGGGGAATTGTCACACTTTCAAATAATGGTAGGCATTTCTGTTAACAGTGAATGTTGTAGTATTTTCTTACTGGTATTTATAAAGTATTAATTATGATGATTGAATTATTTACCTTAGAGTGCTTCTGCAGGAGGTGTTTTTGTGCAGTGCTCATACAGGTTATCTGAATAGTCATGTGCACCCAAAATCATGGAAGGAAGCCTGTAATCAATGGTAGTTCATTGCTGGTGACGATATCATTCCAATTACAGTGGTGCCCCACTAGATGCTTACCCCACATGACGTGGAAATCACTTAACGATGACATTTTTGCAATCGCAATCGCAAAACGATGGTTCTAATGGTTTTTTTTTCACTTCATGTTGATTAGGAGCCTGCTTCGCAAACCGTTTGTTCTTCATCGTGGTCTTCTGTGAATACACACATAAAGGGTTAATCAGCGCCAGCGATGATCCTCTCGGAACGTTCTAGAGCTTAATAAAAAGAAACAAAGTTGTAGGACACTCATATTGCGCATGCTCCTCCCACCCCCTCCTCAGTTCCATTTCTCCGCCGTGCGAACTGGTTCTTTCGGCTAGAGCTCCTAATATTCTTTACATATTTTGGATTCTTTCGGCTTTTTTGGACTTCTGCAAGGCTATTTCGACCACTTAACAGAGACTTCCCTGGAACAGATTATCATCTTCAAGCGGGGCACCACTGTACATATACAGAGCTGTACATGATTTCAGCCAGTGTCTTTTCCTAATGGGTGACCATAATTATTAGTAATCATTTAGCTACTTTCTGTGAAAATGCATTATTCTAATAATATATTTTTAATAACAGAAGATTATTACATAATGGCAAATTTAGGCTACTCCCTCCCATTTGTTACATAATCTGAAATGGAACAGTGCAGAAACACTGTTGTGGATGGCTAACAGCAGGATAAAACAAATAATAAACAGTAAGATTAAAACACAACAGCATAAAAACAAAAAAACTTGGAAGGAACCCATTTATGCAAGTACAGTGGGGTCTTGACTTGAGAACTTAATCCGTATTGGAAGGCGGTTCTCAAGTCAAAAAGTTCTCAGGTCAAATCTGCATTTCCCATAGGAATGCATTGAAAACCATTTGATCCGTATCTGCTCTTTTCCGTCCATAGAAACTAATGGGAAGCTGCTATTCCGCCTTTGACCACTAGAGGGGGATATTTTGTTTCTTTTTTTCTTAGGTCAAGAAAGGTTCAGGGAAGGCAGGGAAAATACAGTCCAGGCAGTACAGTACCAGGCAGTCTGAAGACTGTCTCCCAATCCACTCTCTAAACGCTGGGAGGAGTGAGGAAGCAGACAGGCACCCTTTTCACTGGCCAACAGTTAACTGAAAGTTCACATTTTGCACTTTCCCTGCCTCCCACGTGGTTTTTTTTCAGTTCTTAACTCAAATCTAAGTATGTAAGTCAAGTCAATATTTTCCTATGAGAGCGGTTCTTAAGTCAAAATGTTCTTAACTCGAGCCGTTCTTAAGTCAAGACCCCACTGTAGCTCCACAATGGTTGTAACTGAAAGTGGTTTCTTATGAGGTGGAATGACATGAGATCATGTGGATATGTTTTCCTCAACCTGATGCACCCACGATGAATAATATTATAACTCTAACTTTCAGTAGCACCCAGTCTAAATAAAGGAATACAGGAAATATTTTTAATCCTCATTTTCATAGGTTTTTCCTTGTATAAAAATAGAGATAGCAGTAATGCGTAGAGGTGAGCTGATTTGTGATTTTGGACAGGAACTCACAGAATTCTCCAGTCAGCCACGGCAGTTTTGAATCTGGATTTTTAATCCAGAAAAATAGAAAAGAGCATTCTGGATTAAGTTTGTTGCCTGAAAAGCAATACTCAATGTTTATAAAGCTTTTTATGAAACAGAGGTATAGGAATTTTGTTTGGGTAACCCTTATGTACTGATACATCTCTGGATTTGGGGGTAGGGAGATTAATTAAAAAATTCTACTCAAGCCATGTGAATGCAAATGTCCATGGCATTTCAAGTTCACTTCAACTTTCATTAAATCTCATTACTGCATGATAAAGGTAACTGCTGTTGTGCCTTTAATACATCAGTTGTTTCTTGCTCCTGAAATCGGTTTCAGATTATCTGCTCTTAAAGCTTGAACCAAAAATAAAACAGAAGCATGAATAGGAATGACTGAGGTCTGTGTCTACAATAAAATCACATACCCATGCTAGACCTTAATGAAATGTTAATATGTAAGGCACCATGGGTTGTTTTTGCTTCAGCAGAACTGACACAGCAATGTTATGCAAAGCTTATTTTTTTACAACACCTGTTTTGGTAGAGGGGCTTGGAGAGCTGTAGATCAAAAAAGGTTCTCCAAGCTGTGACGTCATGCTTCTGACTGCACTTCCAGAAAGAAAGTTCTCTTTATCTTCCAAAGGGTTCTAGGAGCTTAATGTAGAGTTTAATTGGTACTACCCTAAGGGAAGCAAGGGTTGGAAAAATAGGAGAGGAGGTGAAGGAATTAATGGAAGCTTCTGCTGGCCATCATCATCATCATCATCATCATCATCATTGTTACTTTTAAGCTTATTAAGCTCATAGTTTCTGTAAATGTTAGATTTCTGGAAAGAGGCTTCAGACACTGAGGAAGAAATGATAATGTCCTTCTACATTTACTTGTTTAGCTTAATGGTAACAGTAATGGTGATGATAATGAACAAAAGCATCTAATCATTCCTCCTCCTGTTTTTTTCGAAATCTTGCTTTCTTCAGCATAACAGCTAACTAAACTCCCAGTTAAGCTTCCAGAAACCTCTAGAAAAGAAAATGGAACTTTTCTGGGAGTTCTGTTGGGAGTAGATAGAACTTGGAAAATTACTTTCTTGGGCTACAGCTTCCAGAAGCCCACAGCCAACATGATCAGTGATTATTCTGACTGACAGATTCTGGGTCTTATCCAGAAGGCTGGTTCTGAACTCTGCTATGAACCCCATCCACTCATACACTTTGGGTATGTGAGTGAAGCTAGAGAGCAGCTACTGGGCATGAGATATAAAATGACTTCAGTTGAAGAGAAGGGGAGGCAAAATATGGGAGGATAATATTAAGGTAGTTCCATATT